TTCCCTCGTGCGTTCCAGCTGCCATTGGCCGATCTTTGCCAGCTGCATGCATCCACATTCAGCCTCGCATGGGGCGGTCTCCCGCAGGGGGGTATTTTTGCACGCGCGACAGAAGTACGGAAGACGACGCCCAACTGAAAATGCTGTCGAACAACGACATCTGCCGCTGTTCGGCAGACGACGGTTCGTCTCAAACGGAAGCCGTCCGCGGCGACGCCGACAAGGAATCCGATTCAGAATGAACCAGAACTGCTGTCGGCTTTCGTCCCCATTCCTGCCGTGCCCACTCCGATCGTGCCAAGTGCTGGAAGCCGCACGGGGGGTCATTCCGGGGAGCCCGGGTCAGCCTGGGGAGGTGATCCCTGTATGATCTTCACGTCCTCGCCGCAGCGTTCGCAGGATCGCCCAAGACTGCCCACGGCCCACGGGGCCCCTCAGCGCCCAGCCCAAGATTGCCAACCATGGAAAGGCCAGAGGGGCCCCCAAAGACAGCCCCAGGGAGGGGCACCCAAAGCGCACCACCGCCGCACAGCTGGAACCCAACGCTGTCAACAGAATCCCCAGACCCCCACGAGGCCCCACAAAGGCCCCCAGCACGAATCGAGAAGCCCCAGTACGCACTCAAATGGACTACAAAGGCCCCCTCAGAAGGTGCGCAAAAGATTCTCAGAGAGCCCTCTCAAAAAGCTCCTCAAGAGTCCACGCAAGTGGAGCCCTCTCAAACGTGGAGCTCCTCAGAAGGCCCCCACAAGTGGAGCCCACTCAAAAGTGGAGCCGGCACAAGTGGAGCTCCCCAAAGGGCCCCCACGGGTGCTGCCCTCTCGATTTCGTTCGCCCTGGCATGATAGTAGCCACTGCCCCTTGCCGCCATCGCCCTTGTCGCCTCCTGCGCCCCAACAATTCTCTTCTCGAGCTCGACGGAATCGGCCGTGAAGCCTTTTTTTAGATTCCCTCGGGTGTGAGAAAAGACTTCTTCTTCTTCTCGGGGGCGGCCAAGACGGGGGTGTCCAAGACGGGGGGGGGGGGGCAAATCATGGCTGGCGGCATGTGCGCGGCCCGGGGGGGGCAAGGGGACGTATTGAAATAAGAAGAGGCGCCACGAAATCTGGGAAAATATCATGGCCACCGCCATGATATCCACACCCCCCTAGTCATCACCCCCCTCTTTGTCGCCCCCGGCATTCAGCAACACACCCTTTAGTTCAAAAGACCCGGGGCCAGACCCCCCGCGAGCGCAGCCCCGCGAACACTGCGACCACAACACCCCGCCGAGAACCGAAACGGTGCCATTCGCCGATCGCCTCGGCCCACCCACAACATCCCAGTTGCCTCACCCTGCCCAGGAGCAGAAGCCGTGGATCCAGGCTCATCAGTAGACTGCTCCTGGCCTTAAGTCGGGCCTGTCCCCCTACAGGGGGATTTCGACCAAAAATAAAACATACCCCCAAAAAAATCAAAATAATCCAAACATAGTCTGGGGACTATTTTTCGAATATCTTTTGACCTTTTGGGTGTATTCTTGGTGTACTTTTTATTTTTCGGGACAAAACCGACTTAATCCTGGCCGTGATCCGGCAGGCACGCTCCGTCCCAAAGTCGACGGCCCGATCAGCTGCTCCGACCTGGATCGATCGACGGATCCTGGGGCTCACCGGCCCCCTGCTCGAGAAAAAGCAGAACGTTCCAGTGAAACTGCGGAGCCCAACTGCCGCGAGCGAACCAGTACGACGACGGACAGAGCTGGGGCACTGGCAGAACATCTCAACACCTCGCCCGCGCTGGAGATGAAGGGAACGACAACGGCAGCGGCTGCACATAAAGTAGATACCGCTCACACTCATGGGTTCCCGTTGGGGGTGCCAGGCATCCAGAACGCGCCAGGTCAGGTGCGCCCGTGGCCTGAGGGAGCAGAGCACAGGAGAAGCATGTCCAGATCCGCGGGGTGCAGGGGTCCCTTTTGTCTGAAGCATCCCCCCTGAGGCTGGTCCTGACTGCAGCATCTGGAGGCCTCCTGGATGGGGTCTGGGTGGGGTCGGATGATCGCGCCGCCGCATCGCCGATGCAGCGGCGACGTTGGCGTGGGCAAGATCGGGCTCCACACCGAGCCGCACGGCCGAAGCGTCGGCGATGCGGCACGATCCTCCCACCCCATCCACTCTTGAGGCGGGCGTGTCCCCCTACAGGGGGATTTTCGACGAAAAATAAAAAATACCCCACAAATAATCCAAAAATAATCCAAAAATAGTCCGGGTACTATGTTTTGAGTATTTGTGTTGCCCTTTTGGTGTATTTTCTAAATTTTTCGCCCAAAATCCCCCTGTAGGGGGACACGCCCGACATAAATCTACTCCCATCCCATCCAGGAGGTCCAGGATGTCCCCGAGCCCGGCTACGCGGGCGCAGCACGCAGGATGACCCGCGCTCTCCGACGTCTGGGCCGGAGAGGGTCCTGCTGCACAAAGGGCCGCACGCGGTCCTCGAGCAGCTCCACGATCTGGGCCTCCCGGGGGGGCTGCGCTGGGTCCCGAGTGGCAGCGTCCACTCGGTAGCGTTGCCAACCTTTGGAGGCCTGGAAATGGGCATCAACACCAAGACAGAGGGCTGCCTCCACAGGGGGGAGGTGATCCTAGATTTCGGTGTTGGTGGTAATATTTCGGCCACCTTGGAAGCCAGAATATTACCACCATCACCGAGATCGGGATCTCCTTCCCTCGGTGGAGGAACACCGCCGATCTTGGTGTTGGTGTCAACCTCTGGGCCTGCGAAACCTGTGGCAGTCACATACTCGTGCTGGCGGACATGTTGTGTGACCCCTGTCGGGAGCCCTCAGGAGCCCAACGGGGCTGCGGTGACCCCGTGCTGGCCCCGCTGCCCAACGGGGCCATGTCTCGCGCCAGCCATCCGTGTCGCATCCATGTCGGAAACGTCAGATTCGCGTCAAACCCGTGTTGAACCGTGTCGGGCCCACATCGAGTTCGCGTCGAATCCGCGTCGAACCCGCGTCGGAGCACAAGGGGCGACTCCCTCTTACAGGACAGGATCGAGACACCCCTCTTGCCGGGCCGCGAATCCTGGGACGATAATCCTGCCATGGTGCTAGTGGCTAGTGGCTCAGGGTACACCGCAGGAGTTCTGGAGCATCTACTGGGCAGTTTTTAATACATCGGATGTTTTAAAACATAAGCTTGTAATCCATGATTAATTTAGGAATGAATGCATGCATGAACTCATCGTTGTTTTTATATACTCACTCCCTGTGTTTTTAGTTCATGATCCGCACGCGGAGCATGGATTTAAGACGGCACTGGACGGTCAGGAACTCGTGCTCGGCGTGTCGCTGCAGCGGGCCTGGCCGCACGCTACGCCCTGCCAGGCGGCCCGCGTGCCCCTCCGCTCCGCGGGGCGAGCAGCTCGGAGAGGCTCGGCACCTGCAGGCCTGGGCGCGGGAGGAGGAGGAGGAGGAGGAGGAGGAGGAGGAGGAGGAGGAGGAGGAGGAGGAGGAGGAGGAAGGAGGAGGAGAGGCGGGGGGGGAGAAGGAGGAGGAGGAGGAGGAGGAGGAGGAGGAGGGAGGAGGAGGAGGAGGAGGAGGAGGAGGAGGGAGGAGGAGGGGGGGACGTGGACGGCGTGCCGCGCCGAGGCGCGGCGGGCCAGCACGGGCAGAGCGACGCGCGCCATCCAGGACGTCCCGACCGTAGCGGCCCTCGCTTCCGCAGCCCGAGCGGAGCTTTGGAGTCCCGAAGCGGTGCGGTGACAGACCGTGCGGTGACCTCGAAATCCCCCAAGACCTCCCCTCCTCCTCCTCCACCTCCTCCTCCTCCTCCTCCTCCTCCGCCTCCTCCTCCTCCTCCTCTTCCTGCCCCTCCTCCTCTTGCGATCTTACCACGCCTCCTCCTCTCCCGCCACTAGTCTTCGGCGGATGCGCGCGGGCCTGAGCTGGCGGGGGGGGCCGAATGGCACCGCACGGTCTTGGGACCTCGGAGGCCCCGGTCGCCCGAGACGTCCTCGGAGAACGACCCGAGTCCCCAAACCGGGTGGTGACCCAGAATCCCCACCGACTCACCGCACGGTGTGGTCACCACCCCGTTTGGGGGCCCCCGAGGAGCATGGGGAAGTCCTTCGGGCATCCGGGGAAAGCTTCGGACAGCTGAAGGGGCCCCAGGACACACAAATAAATACACACAAATAAGAATATTCCCAATCTTTTCCCATATTTTCTGGGTTTCTGTCCCACTTCCCATATTTTCCAATTTTTCTGGGGAATCGAAGATAAATTGTGTCTGTGTGTTCCTTTTCCTCCTGAGCAGCGTCCGCTCGAGCGGCGATTGCCCCTCGGAAGCCCTCGCGCCTCCCGAGGATGCCGTCGCCGCCGTCTGGGAGGCCCGTCCCCCCTCGCACCGAGGAGGCCAGGGCGGAACGGGGAGCAGCAGAAGTCGGGTCGGGCGAAAGGGGGGGATAGCCAAGGGGGGGCTTGAGAATCAGCTCGCGCCGCTGAGTTTCGCGGCGCCTCCCCGCGCCGGAGGCGGCCACGTATCGAGGAATGGGCCCCTCGGTGGGGCCGAAACCAGCTGCGTGCAGCAGATTTCGTAACCCCCCCTTTCCCCAATCCCCCCCTGTCGTCTGGCCCGAAAAAGGCAGCCTTGATGTGTGTGGGGGGGGGGGGGCGCCCGAGGCGGGACGCCATGTGCGGGTATGCGGGTGCGTGTGCGGGTGTGCGGGTGCGCGTGAATGTGTGTGTGTGTGTGTGTGTGTGTCTGTGTGTGTGTGTGTGTGTGTGTGTGGGTGTGTGTGTGTGTGTGTGTCTCTGTGTGTGTGCGTCCGCCCATCGACTGTCTTTTTCTGCCCAGATGCGCCTCCGTGCGCTCCCGGCTTGCTGATGTGCCGCTTCAAAAAAGAAACCGATTGATGGTAAACGCGTCCAGTCACCATGCGCCTTGTGGTTTCGACTCAGCCGCGCATCGGAGGAGCGAAGAAGCATGTATGTGTGGGTGTGCGTACGCGTGCATGCAAGCGTGCGCGTGTGCGTGTGTGAGTGTGTTGCGTGGTGTGTGTAGTGTGTGTGTGTGTGTGTGTGTTTGTGTTGCGTGTATTGTTTGTGAATTTGTTGTGTGTATGTGAATATATAAGTAAATGTGTATGTATGCATGTATGTATGTATGTATGTATGTTTGTATGGATGTAGGTAGGTATGTATGCATGCATGCGCAGTATAGATGTAGTGCGTCTGCGTGTATGGATGAATGCGTGTGGGTATGTATGTATGTACGCATGTATGTATGTGTGTATGTATGTATGAATGTAATAATGTGTGTAGGTTATTTCGCAGGTTGGTGGGTTGGAACGGAAGCGACCCCAACTGGGAAATCGGTGTCGGTTTCGGTTCGTGTCGTGCGCGCCGGCAGGGCGAAGCCGCGCGAATTCCAACTATCGCCAGAGAGGCCACCCCCCAAGTGCTGGACGTGCCCCCCGGTTGTGCCGGCGGTTGTCCCGATGGTTGTCCCGATGGTTGTGGTTGTCCCGATGGTTATCCCGATGGTTGTCCCGATGATTGCCCCAATGGTTGTTTCGATGGTTGTCCCGAGGGTTGTCCCGATGCTTGATAGATAGATGGACATATAGTTGTCGTTAGATGTTGTCCAGATGGTTGTTCCGATGGTTGTCCCGATGGTTGTCCCGATAGTTGTCCTGATGGCTGTTTCGATGGTTATCCCGATGGTTCCCCCGATGGTTAATAGATACCTGGATAGATAGGTAGATAGTTCGATCGATGTATTTATATATATATAGAGATGTACAGAGAGCTATACAGACACATATAAATAGATGTAGAGAAACAGATAGATATGTAGAGAGAGAGGGAGATCGAGAGAATACATATATATATATATATATATATATAAATATAGCTAAAGACATACATTGGTGTGTATGAATATAAAGGTAGGGGTACACATACATAGAAAGACACATCGCTTGGGATATGTACGCATATCTATATATGTGTACATATATATACGTTGTACAGATCGGTAGATAGAGGGATTGATCGGCAGATTGCTTGATTTGTTAATTGATTGATAGACTGACAGAATGATCGATCGATGAATCTATCCATAGATAGATGGTTGTTCTAAAACGATAGTTCGATAGATCCGTCGATAGATGGATGGGCAGATGTGCGCGAGAATGGGACATTTGAAGAAAGCACTGAACAACCCAGACCGCCTCCCCCTCCCCCCCAACCTTGTTATCACCCGTAGTGGTCCTACCGGTATTTACACACATATATACTAGAACCATCGCGCGCGCTTCGCACGCGCTCAAGTTCTAGCTAGGCTTGATAGACAAACTCATGTAATATCATGTTGGTCGCTTCTTGCGTCCAGGGACTCCCTTGGAGGCCCTGCGCAAGCCTCGGAATCGTATAGACAGGGAAGTGCGGAAACGCAGAAACCATGAATTCCCTTTTTAGGTGTTCAACGATTTGGGGCCCTCAACGGTTTCCTGGGTTCTTGTTTGGGAGGTGAGAGGGGTCTTAACTGTGGTCTGTTGTGCAAGAGTAGACCGGGGGCAAAGCTTGAAAAACAAAGGAATTGGGGCGTTCTTTACCGTTCTGGGGGCTCCTTGGGGTCGTCTTGGGCTGTCCTTGGGCGTCTTGGGGGTCCCCCGGGAAGCCGGGAGGCGCGATACGGGCCAGATGTCAGGGGATGCGTGGGATCTCCGAAGTAGGAGTCCCACTTTGGAAAAACAAATAAGTGGGAATGCCTTTTTTTCAAATCCTAGATCCTCGAGGGTTGGAAGCGGGAAAACGTGAGAAGGCGGAAAAGATTCGAAAAACCCTTGGATATCAACGATGTTACCCTCTTTTTGGGCTCTCTCGGGGCGGCTCTCGCAGCTCTCGGGCTGTCCTTGGAACCTTGTCGGGGTCTTTTTGGGGCTTCTCAGGGATCGGGGGTGTGTTAGGGGGCCCCTGGGGGGTCCTGGAGGCTCCCGCTCTTGGGCCCTGGGGTGGTCGGGGGCTCTCCTGGGCGCCTCTGCGGCAGTCTTGGAGCCTTTTTGGGCCCGCCTTGGGGCCGTCCTGGGGGACTCTTGGGAGGTCTTGGAGCGGTCTTGGGAGCCTCTTCGGCGCCCGTGGATCGTTGGAAGCTCGAAAACGCGAGAAGCCAAAAGCATAGAGAAAGCAATGAACATCGACGATTCTGGCCCTTTCGGGCCGTCCCGGGACGCCTCTCGGACCTCTTATGGGGTCTCCTGGAGGCTACCTGGAAGCCTCGAGAGCCGTCGGAAGGCTGACTTGGGCTGCTTGGGAGCGTCTTGGGCCATCCTTTCGCATTCTAGTGGTTCCTGGGAAATATTTTGGGTCCCCTTGGGGCGCTGCGGAGGCTCCCTGGAAAGGCCAGGGGAGCGGTACCGGGAGCGTTCCCGAGATGTGGCGGGGCGGTGTGAGATCCGGGGCCGGGGGGGCGATATCTTTTTATATTTCATCATATATATATGAAACAT